GGACACAGCTCAGCCCCTGCTGCCTCCTCAGGTGAAGTCGGGCAAGCAGAGGAAGGTGATGGGTGTCCTGGACATCTACGGCTTCGAGATCTTCCAGGTGAGCGTGGAGCCCACCCAACCTCATCCTGCTGCTGGCACGGGGGTGGTAGCTGGGACATGGGGCAGGGCCGGGGGCTTGGGCACAGCCTGCCATGCAGGACCCTCCTCTTGCAGGACAACGGCTTCGAGCAGTTCATCATCAACTACTGCAACGAGAAGCTGCAGCAAATTTTCATCCTGATGACCCTGAAGGAGGAACAGGAGGAATATGTCCGAGAGGTACCTCGGCCAGTGCGGATCGGGCTGGAGGCAGCCCCTCTGTGCGGCCCTGAGGAGCCTGGGTCTCCTCCCCGGGGGTGGGGAAGTGCCCGAGACGGTTCTGCAGCAGGTCCCTCCCTCATCCCACTCCCTGCCGGGAGCAGATTCAATAGCAGGAAGGCAGGCAGGGAGTCAGGATCCCCATCCCCACGGCCGGACATCCCGTTCCTGCCCCACATCAGCCAGGGAGTGTCCATGGGGCAGGATCCAGGTGGTTTGTGTGCCATGTGTCTCAGGGTCTGCACATCTGACCCTCGTCTGCTCCCAGGGCATCCAGTGGACCCCAGTGGAGTTTTTTGACAACAGCATCATCTGCAACTTAATCGAGAACGTGAGTTGCTCCCCAGGGCTGGGGTGCCAGGTTGGGGTCTCAGCTCCCACCATTGCACCCAGCACAAGCTGGGGCTGAGCAGAGCCTGGAGCAGGCACGGTTCAATGGAGCCAGTCTGGGGTAACGTGGTGCCCCACGGCGCAGAGCAAGGGCGGGATCCTGGCCATGCTGGACGAGGAGTGCCTGCGGCCCGGCGTGGTCAACGAGGACACCTTCCTCACCAAGCTGAACCAGCTCTTCGCCACCCACAAGCACTACGAGAGCAAGGAGACCCAGAACGCCCGGCACGTCATGGATGCCAGCCTGCCGCCGCACTGCTTCCGCATCCACCACTACGCCGGCAAGGTCCGCCAGCAGCCGCGGGCACCCCCGGCACCCACCGTCCCCGCCCTGCTGGGTCCTCTCCCCAGCCGTGC